AATGAAAGTATACAACGATGGATTTATATGATAGTTTGTATGAAATAAAATATATATTAATAAGGTATACCTAAAGTTTATATATTCATAATTAAAAAATCAATTTATGAGCTAATTGGCTTATAGTAAAATGGTTGTGAAGCTAACCAAAAGATTTTATACTAAATTATTATGGATTTTTCAAATTTTTATCTTAATATTACAATTTATACTACCTAGTTTGAAAATAATTTTAAATCTTGATATTCTACTCATTACATCTATTCCATAAAAATATGAAACATCATATAAATGTTCATATAATGGCCTCGCATTATAAGTTTATTGTTAAAAAATAATAAGTTCTTATGAAACGTGAGTCATTTTATGTTTATACTAAGGATTGGAGGAAGATATATTGTTGAATACGCGTAGTTTGTTTTCAGTATAGCCCCAGAGTCATAACCTTATGCACTATTCGTTTTATTGAAATAAGAGTCAACACTAAAACGACTCAAAGGGAAAACGTGATTTGTTCATTGTAGATTATTTTTTACAAAGTTTTCAAATTTACATCGAACACATTTTACGCTACTATGTATATAATATATACCTGTGGAGTTTTTTATAAATTGTATACTTATAGGTATATGCGTTATGCCTTGTCAGTAGCATTGGATTTGTCGTTTTAGTTTTTAAGTTTTCAACAGATAATTTTATATCGATATGTACTTGAAAGGATGTTTATGTTTTAACTTTTATTGTATAATAATATTTATAGATGTGTTTAACCTGTATTAAATGAAAAAAATTAACTTTTTTCGAACTCAATATATCAATACTATGATTAAAAATATAAATTTTATGCTATATTATTATATGGTTCACTAAATATATTATTAAATATTTTTATATGCTTAAATTTCATTAAGTAATTTATTTACAATTTTATTATCTATGACAGACACAATAATTATTTAAACACACTTATATAAATTTTTTTTCTTTTAGCACTATACCTACTTATATGATATATTATTCAAATAATTAATATTTAAAACATTCATCTAGAAAAATATTAATTTAATGTAATTTTTTATATAAATATTTATAATGGAGTGGTTTGCTTATTAGTTGTAATTATTAATTGTGTATACCGTAATCTTAGAGTGAGAGAATGAAGTCAATCGATTTATCTGGGCCTATGACTACTGAGTACTGACTGCGTATAGTTTTGAGCGATTGTTGTATTTTTGTCTTGTTTCATCGTATGATACCTAATAAATTGCTTAAACAAAATGTTAGGGATTATTTAATCAAATATATTTCAAAATATATATGTATATGTTAAGTAATAACTTTTGGGGTCGCTAAATGTTAGTGCATTACTATGCATAAATATCAAAATACTTGTTTATATATCCATCAAGAATCCATAAAATGATATATATTTTGATAATATTATTAGGAAGTAGGAACAAAATATTTGTATGATACCAGAATAATAATCAAAAGATATTTGTATACTTAATATTTCAATTAAGTTGGCACTTTAATATTATGAACACAATTTTGTTTACAATATGATTGTTGGACATATACCATTTCAAACTTTTTCAATTTATCACAGAAAATATAGTTAGTATAATGTATGTTTAAAGTCGTAATTATATTATTTTTTTATTAAAGTAAAATATTATAAATGTCAAATTATTAATAATTATTTTACAATTGTTTTTTTTTTTTTTTTTTTTAGTATTAAATGAATTTATAATGTATTATTTATGAATTTTATTTGTATTGATGAATGTTTAAAACTTAACATCTATATTGTTAAGCATGAATAAACTACTTACCATTAATGAAAATAAATGGCCTAGTTCTTTAATAAAATATTTTGAAACTCTCCAAAATCAACCAAACCTTTTAATCAATAACCTGGCATTCTATAATTTACCAGAAAATTTCACCGTTAGTTGGAACGGAATTAGTGAAGGGACTATTTGTTATAAATAAACACCGTTAACTAAATAAAGTCAATAGAAATTCTAGTAATGGGTCGTTTTCTTCGTTTGTTAAGCAATTCATTTTTATTTATACTTTTTTTTAATAATTTATTTTCATCATAATATATGTTTATTAAATTTTTGTGTAATAATGTGTACATTGTGCTGATAATAATATAATTTTTTTTCAATAAAAAATATATATATATTGTAATATATTATCTAAGATTTATAGATATTAATAAAAAATGCTTACTTTTTAAATAAGGGTTTCGAGTAAGTTAAATAGCTAATGAACAAAAATGAATTTCATTGGTTATTTTAAAAACCAATCAGGTATATTATTTTGTATTTTTTTTATATTAATAAAAATGTTCAGGGATTTGGGAACCCTTTTTTCCTGAAATGTTATTTTGATGACTAAGTATAAAAGATATACTGCAAGGCTATTACAAGGTTTTAAAAATATATTTAAAATACTGTAAGTAGTTTTAAATTACACATCATATTTAATAATTATAATACTTTTTAAATTTTAAATTTTTATTGTTATTTATTAAGACCCTAAATGTGATGTACATTCAGGTTGGAATTGAAATAAATAATAGGTATACAAAATTTAATTTAACTGAAATGAAAAATTAGAGCCTGATAGTGATAATAACGAATCGTTTTGTGATTAAATAATTTGTTTTTTGTTTAATGATACTCTCAGCTGCAGTGGCCATTGAGGTTGATTTACAGATATTGGTTTATACATTAATTAGGTATATAGTACACCGTTACAAATACACATATGACATATTACACGATATACCTACATAACTTACCTATTAATGACCATTTAAGGCTTAGGATATTATACAATAATTTGTTGGATAACTTACCAACCACAACGACAGGAAATTATTACAGACATTTCCTGATTAATGCAAGATTGCTCCCAAGGGTTTGGGTAATGTTATAAAAGTGTTAATGTACTAAATATATTTTCTTTAAATATGTGATATAATACGACAATATGACGCTCACATCTAATGCTTATAAACTATAATAGCAGTATATCAGTTTTATATGACTGTTCACTTAACCCTCTGAAGTCAGTCAAAAGAACATTTGTTAAATCAAGTGACCAAAATTGAATTAAATTAAATTAGTCAATGTTTTACTGCAAAAATAGGTAATATCATTAGTGTTTGTTCTCGATTTAGAATAGTATAAAAATTAAAAAATAATAACTATTATTTTATGTTTTTTTTTTTTTTATAAATTATATAATCTAAGGACTTTTGGTCAATGTAAAAATTATTTGGGTAATATTGACACTACTAGGAAACAACATAATTATGACAGTAGATTATTTTCGACTTTTAGTGTTGTAGAGTTTAGCTGGGTAATGTTAACATTATCTAAAATCAAAAATCACCTTTATAAATATGTAAGTTTTGAGCGTGTGTATGTCGTAATAATGTACTAATTTGTGGAATCGATTTTTTTTTTTTTTTTTTTGAAAAGTTGTCTATTTTCTGTAGTAGAAACATCTTATTCACACATTATAAAACGAAAAACTATTCCATGAAATGGTTATTTTTCATGAAATGGCCATTTAAATTTGAAATTATGTAACTTTTTTCACAATGTAGTTAGTTATTCAATTTGTGAAATAAAATATTTACCACATAAAATTAATATTATTTATTTTTGTTATTTATACAAGAGTTTTTACATTTATAAATTTAATTTATATTTGTATAAAGATACGTTAAGGTATAAAAAGTAATATAAATAATTATAAAAAAAAAAAAAACTAAAAACTAAAATGTATTTTATAAAAAAAATAAAAATATATTTATTAAACATGATTATGAATACAACATTTAAAAATATTCACAAAATTATAAGATTTTTTGTCTTTTGAAAAGCATCAATTTTTGACTTAAGCCCTTTCTCTTAGAAACCGTCCTATTTATAGGTATGTTTTTAATTCATATTAAATATAAAAAAAAAAGTATATATATATATATATATTTATTTAAAAAAGTAAAAAAAAACAATTAATGTAAATAATCGAATTCAATACACTATTTATACCTAAAATATATTTAATGAATCATTTTGCACTAAATCGAAGTCTGTGAAAAATAAAAATAATCTTATTTTATAAAGCTTTTGGAATAAAGGCAGGTACTTTAAAAATGCTGAGTGTTGCCAAAAATGTATCCCTGAGCTAATCAGAGGTTAGTTTATCGAATTGCTTTGGGGTTTACTATTTGAACGTTTAATGAAAATTTTTTTAAAAATAAGTGATAAACTTTTCTTTAAAATTCTACCATTCAATTTGTTTTGACTGAATATTTTGTTATATTCTTTATCAATATTGCATTAATTCATTAATTTTATTTTATTGCACCTTACATAAAATGATTGAAGTATTTTTAAATAAAACAATTTATAGTTGATTTAGTACTTTTAATTAAACGTATAATTTATTCATTTTTAAACTATTATAATAATTTGCTTTTAATGAAAATATGAAATTGACAGTTAAATTGAAACCGTATTATATCCAACTATTTATTTCTCAAATTCTATTTATTATTATTATTATTATTTTTTTTTTTTTTATGGAGAATAAAGCATTTTTTAATATGGAATAACTATGATTTTTTGAAGTGCTTATTAGGTATTGTTTGTTCTTATGTTTATTATAATTTATGATAATATTATACTTGGTAATCACGAAACTAATAATTTCAAATATATTTTAGCTTAATATTTGTCTCACAAAGGTTTTTATACGTTTAGATGTTATGTTGATGGTATTTCCACCGTCCACGTCATTTATAAAAGTACGCCATTCATTTCAATTTTGCTTATTATATATTTGTGTTATGCTTATTATTTCTTTAAACGAATTATTTTATTTCATTGTTAGGGACCTAATAATGTATGAGATTACCTAGATTATCTACTAATGAAAAAATTATTCAGTTAATTTATCTGTTTGTATAATAGTTCGGATCAAACAAAATGTGGGTGAAATGGACGTTGATAACTATAATTGCGTTTTCAACGACAGACGTGGCCGAAGGACACGTCAACATGACAACTCGACGAGAATCAACTATTCCGCCATTCATGGCAGAAAACGTTACCGAATACGACGAAATGGCTAACTATACGGATGAAGAATATCACAATTACCTAGTCGATTATGTTACACCCCAAAAGTCCGAATGGGTATTTATAGTTATGCACTCTATGGTTTTCGTTGTCGGACTTATTGGAAACGCATTAGTCTGCGTAGCCGTTTACAGGTAAGACATATCATTGTATTTTCTATTTTTTCGTTTGAGGGATAGAAATCATAATGTTATAATAATATTATAATTTTTTTTTATTGATAATATGAATACACTTCAACTACAACAGCTGCAATTTTTGCTCTTTAAATTACATTATTGAGTGTAGAGTTTTTAAGGAATAATAGTAGGTTTTGGTTGTTTTCAGATCCTAATGGCTTCTTATAATGTCTTTGGGATTTAACATTTTTTGAGTTCTTCTGCTCACTAGCGGTATTCTTTCAGAAGAGTGTCTTTACCGAATAAACGTAATGATAATTGTGAAAATAATTTATCCTAGTTATAAGGGTGAAGACTGTAAAGTTTAAAAATAATCAATTTATGCCCATTTTCTGAAGTTGTATGTATTTTTCAATAATAGAAACTAAAATCTCAAGGGAAAAAAATTTCTAGAAAAAAATCCTAGGAAAAATTCTAAAAAAAAAAAATATTGATGAATAATAAAAATATTTAAAATTTTAATCAACGAATAAATAATAATAGTTAATAAATTTATTATTATCCATTTCAAATATTATTGACTGCTTTCATTGATTAATTTTTAGTTAAAGTTATCGAATTTCTTACATATTAGATTCTAAGCGCAGTGATGAATATTTTGACTTTTCAATAATATGTATTTTTTTATGTTTTTAAACACTTTTTGAGACACTAAAAATAGTTTTGATTTTTGGTAGCAATTAGGATTTAGTGAGCACTTTAATATTATTAAATTGATAATCGGGAAAAATAAAAAATAGGTAATTAAAATTTTTTTGCTATTTCAATTTTTGACAAATTTAGTTTTGTTTTTTTTTTTTTTAGTGTAACTCAAAAAATAATAACCATTGATAGTTAACATTTTCATGAAATGTTAATACTACTGTTTTATATATTATACAAAATATATAAATAACAACAAAAAAAAAAAAAAAAAAAAAATCACCAAAATGTTAAATTTATTTTTTATGATTATTTAAAGTTCATATTTTTACTACATTGGATATTCATCCATAAAATAATTATTTCTTCTATAAATGGTATAATTTTCAAAAAATTTAAACTTTTTTGAGCTTTTTATATGCATGAAATATTTTTGATTTATTTCATGAAATGTGATATAATGTCTATAAAAAATGATTTGCTTGCCAACATTCTTAAAAATTCAACACAAAATCCCATATAAGGTTTTACTTATATTTTAATAAAAATTTATGGAACAATTATATGCATTTTAAGTTAAAATTTGTCAAAATTGCAAAAATTGCAAACTTTTTGGTGTAAGGAATTCATAAGAACTGTTCGTTTTATATTGAACTTTTGAAAATTTAATATAAGCTTCATTCTAAGTAGTTCATTCTAAAACCATAGAATATAAAAAATAAATAAGAACAATTATTTTAAGTTCAAATTTAAAAGAAATGACTTATTTAAGAAATAAATAGCAATGTTAATTTTATTATTTTGTTATATTTTAAAAACATTATTAGATGGTACTTACAAATTTTATGTGTATTATATTATTATAAATTTTACTATACGCAATAACATTTTTATTTATTTTAAGATATTATTTATTTATATTATTTCTCTATTTTTCTGTTTTATAGTATTTACAGAAAGATGTTATTAAAGCTATATAACTTAATTTAAAGTGGTAAAATTATAAATTATTTAAATAATTAAATAATTATATAATAATAAATGGATATTTTTGGAAAAAACGTTATGAATAATATAACTTATTTAAAATAAGTGACTTTAGTAGTTATATCATACAACTTATCACGAAATATACTTAGTGATATAGGCTGACAGGCTATTTTTGCACAGGATTGTTTTTCTTTTACCATGATATATTATAGTATTCAAATTGAGCACTCCCATAATGGTTACCTGCTTGAAATCAAGTATAAAACAGAGCCCCACTTGACTTCCTTATTAGTTATTTATATATTTATATATATGTTTTCTATGATGGAATAATTATGAAATTAATAATAATTTTATTGTATTTTTATTTTTGATTTTATGTTTAATAATATATCTATATCTAATAAAACTTTTAAAAATACCTACTATTTAATAATTATGTTTAATGCAGTTCATAAAAATAATGATACTCAATTAAATTAAAATGATTATTACATAGATACAAAATAATCTGATCTATTGTGAATGCAACTTTTTATGCATTTATCCTTTCTATATTATATAGGTTATTTATTTTTATGAACATTTATTACTACTTACTAGTTTCAATATTTAGTTTTAGGTACAACATAGATTGTCAGGTTTTATTGCTGTTAAAATAGTGTTGGTGAATATATTGAAATACAATTGTTTATTTACAACAAAATGAATAATTGTTAATTATATATTGTAGATATTTTTATCTTTAAATGAGATTAAACACAATTGGTCTTTTAAAATTTCGTTTGATACTATTTACGCTAATTTTTTTAGGAATCGAACAATGCGAACTGTAACGAACTATTTCATTGTTAACTTGGCGGTGGCTGACTTTTTAGTGATCCTAATCTGCTTGCCACCAACTGTGTTGTGGGATGTCACAGAAACATGGTTCATGGGCACTCTAGCTTGCAAAATGGTTTTGTACTTTCAGGTCAGTGTTTTTTCTTATTTTTCTCACAAAATTAGTTTAATTTTGTAGTACCATTGGTTAGGTTGAAAATATTTTAATGGTTAAAAAACCTAACTATACAGAGTGCTACACCTATAAATATAAATCAACTATGTTCTTTTATTTATAAAAAATAGTATTTTTTTCAATGAAGCTAATTTTTTAGGTAATACTATTTTAATAGTAGTGCTTTGAAAAAAAAAATAAAAAAAAAATATTGAATTTAATTATGTTTAAGCCTTTTATACTTCATAATTAATTTATTTGTATACGTATTTTAGATATATTTTGTGTGAATTATTAGAGAATTTCTGTTTATTCATTAAATTACAAAACAATAGGATTTCTATATATTTGTGTATATATTGGCATAGTGACATGAACTTTTAAGAAGATATTCGTTACAAAGAGATTCATTTAATGTTTTAGAGAATTATTTGTTTCACATTGACATAGTGTATATTCTATACACTCAGTAAAACTAATTTAAATGAATTCTATTATGTACGAACTTTCAATACTAAAGGATTGTATGATCTTTAAAGCTTAAACATATAATATTGTTGAACAAAATATTCATTAAAAAAATGTAGTTCTTATTTGTTTTACATATTCGTACATATAGCATTATAATCTATCACAATAATTTTCAATCTTATTAAATTTGCTACCTAGCTATTATAAATTCGTTTGTTTTTTGTGACTTATATGTAAAAAAAAAAAGAAGGTTGTCAAATCTTATTTTAGTGTTTCATATGACATATAAAAAGGACGATTTGATGAAAACTGATTCGATACTATTATTACGTAATTAAGTTCATTTTATTTGCTCCAATAAAATGTATTTTATTTAGTTGTTATTATAATACATACATATATTAATACATATTTATATATTTTTTAATAAATTTAAAGTCGTTTATATTGTGACATATACTATTGTAATATTTGTTATACAATAAATACACTAAATGATTGACCAATACAAAATTTACACACTAAATATTTTTTTGATACGTCCGAATTATTACTTAATATATTAAAATGACACTCGAAGTCAGTTAAACATTACTATCAACATAAGTGAACTCATTAATTTATTTATTAACAGCTATCTTCCAAGACAGTAAAGTATAATTTTAAATATAATAATTAATGTAGATTTATAAATCAAACATGTCTCATATTGATAGAAACTTCATACACGGGGCTTTAACCCCCAGGTATTTTGATTAAAAAAAAAAGTTAAGACACTTAAAAATGTGAATATAACTAATAACTATATACTTGTAACTATATATAAAGAAAATTAGTAACATAAAAATAAAGTAAGGAATTTAAAATTTATATTTATTGAAAAAATTAAATAGTGAAAAATTATTTTCCAGTTTTTATTTTTTCTCAGCAGTTTCTTTAAAACATAATAGGCTTTTTAGATACATAGAACGGCAGTACTTCGTAATTGCCCATGGCGATTATGAATACTGCAATTTGAAGTATTTTTATTTGAATACATGTCTATGAAGTTACAGGGATCATTTTTATTATACATATCCTGAGTGTATGACGATATTATTTAACGATCAAGACGTTTTATACCATAGTGTTTTGTCTTACCAAATAGTAAAATGAATATGTGTAATTTTAATAACCAGCATTGGTTCACACAAATTTAAGAAGGTTCTAGGAAAATGTGCAAACAAACTTGTTATGGGTGTTTTTGTAGAGAAAACTTTGAACACTGTCAGAACCAATAAATGGTAATATTATTAAATGCTAATTTTCTTAAAATTAAAAATAATCTAATAAGAATTTGAATTAACATAATATACTTTCTCAAAGCCATTAAAAGTGTTATAATTTTGTAAATAATAGCTACTTCTCAAGATTGTATATTTGAATTCGATTTTTAAGCAGGATTCACTAAATGACAGCTCGTGGACGAATTGTATCTATTTTGTAGATAAGAAATTTATATTTATGTTGTATTAAATGAGGTTAAAATTTAATTTTTTCGATTTTCTCTTTATTAGTTTATTAAATCTAACTTTAACAGAACAAAAACCAAAGTTCCATTAATGTGACCTTTCAAGAATATTAATTAGTTACCCTGATATAGATTAATATGATATGAATTAAAACAAATGATACTAAAAATAATATTAAGTTAATTTATTTGAACAAGTCTAAAATTATATTTATCAGACGTGCTAAAAAAAGTTGGTATTTTTAAAAGTAATTTAGGAAATCTAGTTTTTTTTATTTCAATGATATTAAAAATTGAAATTAGTCTCTTCTATTTATTTATTAGTAAGTATTAAATATTTAAAGTATGTATAAATTAACTGAAAACAACTGTATAATATCTTATGATTTATATAGTATTGCTTTATCATTAAGATATAATTGATAATCTAAAATTGATTGGATATTAATATTTTTGTAAAATAAAAATCATTATAATTATTATTTTTATATAATAAATAAATTGTACATTTTTTCGTACGCCTAATTTATTAAAATTTAAGTAATAAAAAAAGTATAAATAATATTCTTGCATAGTACTTTTAGCTAACTAATTTTAAACATTTTATTTTGCTTAATAATTGACGATTTGTTTTGGATACTCAAAAGTATGTATTACTTTTCATACAACTACTGATATATTAAATTAAAAATGTTGTTCTTTATTAAATAATGAATAATAATGCATAATGGTGTATGAAATATTGAAATTTAATATTATATATTATTGTTGATATAATTTATATTATGGTTAACAGTTAGAACGAATAAAATCAAGTTATGACGATGTAATCAAATAATATATATATCAACAGTTTATGTTATATAAATGCATGCTCAACAGCAAATAGTGAGTTATGACCAGAGTATCTCATTTTATTCGTGTACAAATTTATTACAAAAGTAAGTCATGTGAAAATTATCTCAATACCAGAATAATTCAAAAGATTCGTAACCTTAGCCATGTTTAAGCACTTTATTAAAGCTAATAATATGTTTTTACAACATAAAGATTTTTATAAGTGCTGTTTAAATACCTAAAGCATTCAAATGAAAATTTCTTATACTTTCTCCAAAGTGTATACTCGTATGTTTTATTATATTTTATAGTTTAAATTAGAGCTCAATTATGATTTAGTAAAACATTTTCATTAATCTCGATATAATAAATAAAATATCTAATTAAATTCGGAATTTTAAGTTATTTATACTTACGACTAATATTATTAATTTCAATTTGTTTAATTTAAAATTTTTATACTAAATAAATGGATAATTTTTTTTAAATCCCCTAAAGCAGAAAATGTCAAAAGGTTATATTTTTTAACTTTATATTTATATTTTAATTTCTATTGTTATTTTATGTTATTTAAAAAGGTTATAAATTATTTTTTAAATTATAATCATAATTATTCATCAAATGTATTAGGTATAATAAAAATGGTTATTGAAAACCATTTTTTATTGTTGTTATAATATTTGCAACATACTTAAATAATAATTAAACAAAATGGAAATTATAGATATGGAAATATTAAATTTATCTTTCAATAATGCTACCTAAACAAAAATTGTACGCTTATAAAAAGAATTGTTTCTTAATAAATATAGATTATACACAAAACGACAACATGATTCAAAATTAAAACGAAAAAATTCTATATTGATGTTGATATTCTATTCCCGTGAGTTGTATAAAAATAATAATAAAATATTAAATAGTTAAGAAAAATCTGTTTAGCACATATTATGTGAAGTTGGCCTTCATTATTTAAAAAATATCACTTGCAGAAAAAAAAAGATTATTTAAATTATTTTTAAAATATTTACGATGGTTTTGAAAAAAATTGACAGATTAGATGGAAAGAAACATTATACACGCATTTTAAGCAGATTAAATTTTAAATCGATAGCTTTCAGAATGATAACCTTAATAATTTAAATAGCATTGTATTTTTTAAATATAACATAGTCAATATATTATGTCTTTTTATACGTAATATGATAAAATTTTAAACCACGATGTATATGTTTTTTAATACACAAAGGGGTTTTGAATTTTTGTTTCAAAAATCATATTTGTTACAAAAAAAGTATATTAAGGTCCGTCGTTAAGTCTTAACTTTTGGTATTACAATTTAATGATGTTTGCATGACGTAAAAATTTAAGCTATTACAATTGGGTATTTAACATACGAATACACAATAATACAATTGAATAATAATATTGAATCGATTACTTAAATAATTTAATCAAATTAATATTTCGTGATTGTTAATTCATTGGTTACAAGAAAAAAAAAAAACTAGTATTTATTTTGACTATATGTTCCTACTATTATATTTTGTATAGTTTTTTTTTTTGTTTATGTACTTATTATTTTTTACAAGAAGGTCCGAGTATAGTTTATGTTTATGGTTAACACGTAATAAAAAATGATAAAATAATTTGAGCTTCATCTTTTATAACGTTATATTAGACGTTGTTACTATTGTTTTACATTTTTCTGTAAATATAATTCATTGAGTACGATATTTTTACTATTTATTTATCTATTTCACGCTTAAAAACATTTATACTTTCCACACTTTTTCGTGAAAAATGTTATATAAATCGAATTAATTATTGTACTCTTGAAACATAATTGTTTTAAGAGTACAATATGTTTTAACTAATATACAATTTTAGATTTAAATTTTAAAATTTTAACATTAAATTGATTGTTAAGATTACTGCTAATATTTCACAAATGAATTATTTATGATGATGTTTATTTTACATATTAGTTTTATAAAACGAATTTCTAAAATGAAATCGAAAATTAACGACTTGATATTAAAATGGAATATGTAAATACGTTTTGCTTTGATCGACGTATAATGAATAATAATCTATTAATGTATTATACTGATTGCCGAATGAATAAGTCTAAATGCAGCAAAATTAAACAATGTAT